AGCCTGCAACATTTTGCAATGGGTTTGCAGCATGGAGCATCATCATATTCCCGTGTATTCATACAATATAACTGTATAAACTGTATAAATGTGTAAGTAGTGTTATTTTGAAAGTTTAGTAAATTGATCCGGTACACGGCTGTGTAGCGTAACCAAATTCACACTAAATATAACAGACTATAGGGATACTTTAGTGTATACGCATCCGAAGCGCTCACTATTTTTAGATATTTTATAACAAATGCAGCCCAACAGCGACTGCAGAGCGCCTTTAATCTAACAGTGACGTCACACGGTACACACTTGTGTAGCGTATAGTAAAGAATACACAGCTTAAATATTTTTATCACCATGCTACACAGCCGTGTGCCGTGTGACGTCACTGTTAGACTAAAGGCGCTCTACAGTCGCTGTTGGGCTGCGTTTGTTATAAAAAATCTGAAAATAGTGAGCGCTTCAGATGCATATACACTAAAATAACCCTATAGTCTGTTATATTTAGTGTGAATTTGGTGATGCGCTTAAAGTACTTTTGTTGAAACTCGTCTCACTGCGTCTGCATAAATAACTCAGCAAAGCATATATCATGGCCAAAAGCTGCTCACCCACAAAATTACAAATATGGTTTAAAAAAATTAAACCAGTTTAAACAATCTTTTTGTTATCCTAAAGCAATGGCAACATCAAAAATTTATAGTAAAAGGCCTGCTTTAAGTGAAAACTATCGATATTTTTTAGGTTATTTTCAGACAATCCTGGCAAAAATTATGTGTAATTTTTGCCACGATTGTAGCTTTGGGAGCTCTTGGAAGAAACTTTCCGAGTTCATTGACCATTCCCAAGAAACGACAGAGTTCTGAAACATTTTGTGGAGCCTCCACGTTAACCATGGCTGAAATTTTGGCTGGATCTGGCTTGACACCATTCTTCCCTACTATCTGACCAAGACAAGAGATTTCTGATTTTATGAATTCACACTTTTCTTCATTCAGCGTTATTTTTGCTTTTGATAGTCTATCGAGAACTTGATTCAGCCTTTCATCATGCTCTTTGACCACTATATATATGTCATCCATTATATACAAGCAATACCAGGCTGGTTCTCCAATACTTGGCGTATCTGCATCTGAAAGTGCTCTGGACCAGAGTTAATTCCAAATGGTAGTCGGTTATAGTAATACCGACCATGTGGTGTAATAAAGGTTGTATGGGCTTAGAATCTACGGTTAACTTTATTTTACGGAAACTACAGTTGGCATCAAGCTTTGAAAACACTATGGCACCAGATATTTGTGCTAGTACATGTTCAACAGCAGGAAGTATGTGTCTTTCCCTTTTCACTGCTTGATTCAAATGTGTGTAATCCACACATTCTGACTTTGTCATTTGATTTTGGCACTACCACCATAGGGACACACCACTCGGTAGGTTCTATAACCCTTTTGATAACTCCGAGTGCTTCTAATCCGTCTAGTTCCTTTTTTACTTTGGGCAATAATGGCACAGTAACTCTTCGAGGGTATTGAACTGGATATGGTTCAGCATTACATGGTAATTCAATCTTATATGGAATTTTCATTTTTCCCAATCCCTTGAAAAGTTGAAGGTGACTTTAAGTATTATTTATCAAGGCTACAACTCCAAGAGCTACGCTACATTCTCTTCCCAGAAATGGGGTTCCTCCTTTCATAACATAAATATCTGACTGGGTCAGTTAGTTTTCTTTCACCATTGAACATTCTATATAACCTAGTATTGGGAGGGACTTGCGATCAGGGCCCTTGAGATTCTTGGTTGATCGTAAAACTGGCTTATGGCTGAAAAAATTTCTGTATATTTTGTCCGATATTACGTATCTTAAAATTAACTTTGGTATTGTTTAAGCAAACATCAACGGACAATTGTTTATCAGTTAAAATTTTATGAACTGATGATTCCTATACGGATGAAACAGACTGTTGTGGTTTTTTTGAGGATGATCCTATACGGATGAAACAGACTGTTGTGGTTTTTTTGAGGTAAAACGAAAAACTATATTACGCTCTATCTATATGGTATTGAGCACTGTTTGTGTTTCGTAAACCAAAATCTTAAGCTATATATATATATATATATATATATATATCCGACTCAGTCTCAACTTTTCCTGTTCACTAAAAAATACTTACTTACGGTGATTAACATATATATATATATATATATATATATGTATATATATATATATATATATATATATATATATATATATATATATATATATATATATATATATATATATATATATATATATATATATACACGACAACAAACGTTGCGGTCTAGTGTAGGCTATACTCTACAATAAACTTAATATGAGATTGAATTTCAAATAGAATTTCAAATCACAACTTGATTGCAACCAGTTTGCGTGGTTTATACTCCCTCGAATAATTGGATAATAAAACATTCAATAATTTTTCTGGCCTTAGCAGGTTCGACTCGCTGGGAAACTGATGGGTAACAACAGTATGATAAGCGTTACAAATATTTTGTTCAAACCTGGCTTATGTCAAGCGCTCCCACGAGGAGCTCAAGGTTAGTGCATTAGTGTTAGATTAGTATTTCATTTCGGCTTGCAATATGCAGTTTCCTGACTGTAGTTTAGTTAGGGCCTGTTTACATGGAGGTAGGGCGACCCTATCAGGAGGGTTACCCTAGCAAGCGGGTCACCCTAGTCTAATGTGTTCCATAGGTCGCGCTTACATGCGCACTAGGGTTACCCTATGTCCCTATCAAACAGATAAGGTGACCCTACCAGCAGGGCTATCTTTTTTTACATAAGCCATGTAAACACGTCAGATAGGGTTACTCTAGCAAGCGGGTCATGTTTTATACGTTCTACTGTGACTGCTAGACAAACAAGGATGGCGTCGCAAGATATCAGCCTGGCGAGTATTTTAAACGACACCAGAAAAATAAAATGGGCAAGCAATCTACACATAAGGAAGCAGAGGCAGAGAATGAAGCTTTGCCTTTGGAAGAGAACACTGCGAATGATGTAGTTTCGATAACAAAGTCAAAAACGATGAAAAGGAAGCAAAATTCCGGCGCATCCTCATCGAGCACAAAACTTAACAGACCACAACAATGAAATGCAGCAAGCAAAGGCCCAAGAAATAGCATCACACAATTTGCCGCTAAAACTTTGCATTTCGGCGCCATTTTTGTAATACAGGCAGCTTAGCGACCACACATAGGTAGGGTTACCCTATCGGGCAACATAGCCCTAGCAGTAGGGTTACCATACCTCATGTAAACGCTCGCTATTTTCTGACCAGCTTGTTAGGGTAACCCTCCTGATATAGGGTCACCCTACCTCCATGTAAAACAGGCCCTTAGAGGTTCCTCGAGTAGTAACACTGGACGAATAAGAGATGATCCTTGTTGAGCCTCTAGGAGGAACAGTTTAGAACTGATAGAGTTTTCCAGTATAAATAAAGTTAGTTTAGTTTAGGTTTCCTCCTTTAGTAATACTGGCCCATTATAGGAGATTACGCTTACTAGACCTTTAAGGATAGCATGCAGTGTAGAACTGATAGAGCTATCCAGTGTGAATAAAGTCCATTGACATTTCTTTACTTCGTAGAGATGGATACACATCTACTCATTAATACCTCCGGTATCCTAACTTCACCTTACTACCCCTCGTTTTATCTGAATAACATGAGCCGACGGTGGCACCTGGAAGCCTCAAACAGTCAGCGGATTCACATCGCATTTCTCTATCTTGACATTGAACAATACCCGACATGCAAAAATGACTACGTTATGATACAAGATGGTAGATCATCAGAGAAACAGTCTTATTTTTGTGGAAAAAGTATACCAGCTGAATTTAAGTCAAGTTCGAACCAACTATTAATTGTTTTTAAAAGCAATAACAAAACTGCTGGAACAGGGTTCAAAATTCGATATATGATTGTTAAAGGTAAAGGGATCGTCGCATTTTAACTGCGTATGCATGTGTCGCTTTTGTTATTGTTCATGAATATTTTGCTTGTTAATAGAAAACGAAGACGATGGCTGCTTGTTGGCTGACGTACCAAGTATGCAATTTCATTTTTGTACTTTTGTCGTAACGGATTGGGAATTTAGGATAAATAATCTTGTTTGTGGGTGGTTTTCAATAAGCACATTCAATAAGCAAAGAGTGAGAAAATAATGTAATTTATTTCATAATATACGAACTTTATTCTACCTAGATTGTCCTGAAAACTGTCGTTGTTATCGTTGGCCATTGGACCAATCAAAAATCTCTGTGTATGCGAGAGATTTAAACAACATTGCGTCTGTTTATCCACAATATACAAGTGCAATGTAAGAGTGTATAACATTAGATTTAACGGTCTACTCATACACGATAGCGCTTCAATTTGATTTTAATGCCTTTCCTTTTTTGTAAATAAAATAATAACTGTAAATATGTACATAACTATTTTTAATTATACTTTTTAGATAACATATAGATAAACTTTACTTTGTAATCTATAGCAGTAAGTCTGTTGAAGAGCCACTCTGTAGATACACTGTTATTAAATCATTATTATTACTATTATTATTTTGTTTAGATTTTACGAGAAAAATTTCTTCTATAAAATAACCAATGCGGACTTTAACAATGCGCCAGATCTGGAATTACTGTAAGTAATAAGCTGCTTATTTCGGCAACGTTGTTCTGTAGGCATTTTCCCCGATGTATTCTAGAGCTGATCTGGTTTAGCCAACTCAGCGTAATAGTCACTAAATAAACTATCCACCTACGAACTAGCTAGAATTACATGATCTGTGGTTTTATATATGTTAACAACTTTTATTTTGATTGTTATTGTTTAGAAGTTTGATGGAAAATTTCATCACTGTCATCGAACGTGGAGCATTTCGCAAGCTCAGGTCTCTAAAAACATTGTAAGTTAAAGAAAAAGGTCGAAAATTTTTAGTAGTTTTCATTCGAAATTATTAAGTGATTCTTAATTCTTCTTTTAAAGTCGTCTTTCACAGAACACAATAACCAGCATTCCACGAAATATTTTCAGTGAAAACCCTTCGCTTGAAGTTGTGTAAGTTCAAAACATTATAGATAGATTAGTAGTTGAAAGTAAATAGTTGGCAGTCATACACCCTTTTCATAAATGGCTGCCGATTAAAAATTCTTTTATTTGCATATAAATTGGCCCAACTAGCCTCGTACTCATGTTAAGATTTCAAAGGAATTTCTACCCAGAAACGAGGCTAGTTGGGCCAATTTATATGCACATAAAAGAATTTTTAATCGGCAGCCATTTATGAAAAGGGTGTATGCGACCTTGGTTATAGCTGTTCTTAATGCTTTCCCCACACTATCTGCCTCGTTCCCAGGCGCTAATAAAAAATTTCATGCGAGTCTCTATATGAAATGTTTACATGAAGTAGTGCATCGCGACGAAGAAGCGCAGGGGTTTATGGGCTTGAGGCAGCGAAAATTGAGAAGCGCCTGGGAGATCTTGTGCCATTTCTTGCAAAATTCGTCTGTTTCTTGCAAGTCTGTTTCTCGACAGTTTCAGGGGGTTTTTTCGCCATTTTTTTTCAGAAAATAACATTTCAAATTGTTAATTCAATTAAACATGTGATTACAGTCAGATAATATTTGATATCATTTGACCCTTTAAATGATTCCGAGATGTCAACACTTGAAGAGGTCAACGAGGCTGTAGAAGAGTTTATATAATAACTTTACAAGGTATGGAAAAATGACGTCCTTATCACAATGCGGAATTTATTTTAAAAATCTACAGCTACAGGAAGTTTTTTAAACAAGGAAGCGATGAAACTTTATTTTGTATTGCGTTACGAGCTTATTTACATGCAGTATGTTTGATTTTCACGATGCAAGCGATCGACAATATTCTGAATAATTCAAGTAAGGATAGTTTTAATTCTTTCTGGTGATATACATGAAGGCATTTATATTTAGATCTGTTGTTTACTTGCTTTATGTTCGACAGTTATTATACAAGATTGGCCAGGCGCAAACCAGAACGCTCATATCCCATTCCCCTTTGCACACCTATAATATGACGCACTACTTCATGTAAACCTTTTATGTAGTGACTTGTGTGTGAAATTGTTTTATAGCGCCTGAGGGCGAGGCAGCCACACTATCATGTATTCTATTTAAGTTAAAACATTGTTGGAACAACTCATCAATGACATTTCAATGGCACTCACTAATGACTTTTTTCAAAAAATGTCCCCGTAACAATGTGTGACTGCCAATTCTCACCATGGCTAATCCCAGTTATCGTATTACACCGGTGTTCCACAACTTTTCTATTTCATATCTTTGGTTCAGTGCTTGTTGTGACGACAAAAATACCACCGTTTGATTCAGCGTATAAATATCTCCTAATTCCTAACAATAGTTTTAGTCAATGTCAGCATTATAGAGATTTATGGCCTTTGACAGTCAAGCGTGGATCCTAAATTATCAAATTATGCAATATTACTCAATAAATATAAACTAGGCATACTTTTTGCCAAACATAACTTCAGTCCCTTGGGTCGTATCGTCTTCGTGATAGTCTTGTCCGAATCAACAACCCAATTTGCATCTTTTATTACCGTATTTCCATTTCTGGTCCGACTGGGAGCTAATCCCAACCAGAAATACAATTTCAAAACGTCAAAACAATGCGAAGCTTGTATTCTATGACTCTGGAAATGGCAGAAATCGATTCTAAAAGTCAAAGTGCACCTGCACGCTTGATTTTCGAGGTAATCCGGCTACGTGAGCTCCTTAATATTGGCCAAGTATTGCGCGTGGCACGTGTGTGCGAGTAGTAAAACCCGATATATTTCTACTCGCCGTATTCAAACGAAACTTGCTAAATGAAAGCACTTGAATACAAAGAGTATTTTATACTCATGTATACACTTGGGGCGAATAACGAAAAGTTTAGAATATATTCAAGTTTTTTTCTCCAGATGAAATTGAGAATTTTGGCCAAGCGGTGAGTAACTGTAGGATCATTGTTTTGGTTTGTGTAATATTTTGACGGCATTTGACCCCCCGTTCGAAAGGTTATTTTGTGAGGATTTCAACGGTGGTTTTCGTTTAAAAGGGGGTAGATACTCGCCGAGATATTTACATTAGAAACAATTGACTCGTAATACTGTAATACAATATATGTCCAGAAATAAAAAGAGACTGGTTTGGCTACTTGTATCATGTGACAATATGTTATTGTTCGGCTCAAATTACAGTCACTTGACGAGATGAGTGCATGCCACTAGTCGAAGCCATATATACATACTATAAATTTGCCTTCAAAAAAGCAGTTATTTTCGGCATGTTTTTTGTTTCGATTTTTCGAGTCGAACATGCAATAACAAAAATGCCTGGGTCAGATTGTGCGTTTTGCAGTTGTTACACTAGCAGGAAAAGCAAAATTTCGCTTTTCAAGATCCCTGTAGTGTGCACAGCCGATAGTGACCACACAAAAGCTTTGAAGACAAAGGCTCGTCAATAATGGATTGCATTAATCGTCTTTAATCCTAAGGACCAGAGAAATGAAACTTGAACTTAACAAACTGAAACTTGAACAACAAATTGATGGCAACAACATTCATCTCTGCGAACTCCATTTCAAACCAGAATACTTTAATATTCGTAAGTATCACTAATCATTATAAATTCGCGTTCATGCTGTATTTAAATTTATTAAAATATAAACATATTATAAAATATAAAACATATTAAAATATTTAGTATATGTCAATGCCGTGTATAGAACCCCGTGCAGCTATAAACCTACACGGTATATACGAAGCGGTCAGATGACATTGTCATGTTAAAACTACTGTTTAATAAACGAGCAGGAGTGTTTTATTAGGTTTAAAGCCTTGAGCGCGCAGCGCGAGTGGCTTTAGACCTAATAAAACACGACCTGCGAGTCTAATTAGCAGTGTTTTATCAGGTTTAAAGCCACTGCACGTGACATATTATTATTGACATGATTTGCCAATAAGCTTATGAATTATTAATGAGTGTTTGAAGCGTATATTATGATTACGTTTTTTATTTATTTGTTTGCATAACGTTCATTTTTTACCCTAAAAGAAAGACTTTAATTTCTGGAAATGTTGTTAGTGAAAGTCTACCGACGAGAAGGTATGATGTTGTGAAATCAGAGCGACAGATATTATTAAGACGAAATGAGGATTTACTAACTATAGTTGCAGCTCACCAGAAGAAACCCATAAAGTTGTAAAACACCAAGCTTGGAAAGTGTTATTGAGCAGGTGCAAGATATAGTATTCCTTCTTGGAAATTAGATCATTCTCCTGACAATGATGTTAAACTGGAACTCTATGATGATCTGCATAGCCTGCTTATTAAATATACTGTACTGTGCTAAATCATTTCTCTCTGCATGGAGTCCACCATCGCCATATATATAATTGGCCGATCAAAAAGGATCATTCTATTTATAAGAAACTGAAACGTTCAGTGATGTATCATTCCATGTGTCAACTCATTGTGTCAGGGTTTACTAGATGATATTGATTTGTACGTTGACAGTTATTGTCGATCCTATTTAAAACGTAACAACGTCTGGTACTATGTTACGCTACTCTGTTCCCAAATCCCTAACATCTGAGCAGACTCACATCAAGACTTCAGTTATTCTACGGTCAGTGGACTGTGAATTAATTTGTACTACTTTAGAGGATCAGCAGTGCAAGCCACGTGGGACTGCAAACATGGCTATCAAGAAAGTAAGCAGAAGGAAATCAAGAGCATCGGAAGCCCCGGCAAAAGACAAGGCACCACTTGCAGCATGTGGGCCTGCAAAACTGCAAAACTTCGAGCGACTATAAGAAGTGACCAGCTGCATTGTAAGCAGTCAGAAGAAAGACTTCAAATGCTTCAAGAGAAAATTGAAGCTGATGATGATGAAAATTGAAGCTGATGAGTGGCCAAAACCTGTATGCTACTCCACATATGACGTTTTTCTGGGAGCAACAAGTTAAACTTGTTG